TATATCTTGGTTTATAAGTTTGCATTTATGGTGACACTCAAGACACTGTTAGTGTTAATTTATTGTTTTTGGAAATTATTTTCAATCTGCCATGGTATAATGCATTATCTTCGTGGTTATACTTGTGAAGCAATTGTACGAATGTATCGTGGTATGCATGTATAATACTATGTATGTTTTTTCCTGTAAATTCGGTAATGGGCAATAGCCCGTGCTTTGTTCAAATAAATAAATAATAATCATGGATAGATTTATTCAAGGTGGCAATTCATTAAATTATCCAGGTGGAAAGACTTAGATTGCCTGTTTGTAAGGAGGAGCAGTGGATTGTGGAAACTATAAATGAACATGACGTTGTCATCATTTGTGGTGAAACAGGCTCTGGCAAAACCACCCAAATTCCTCAATTTCTTTACGAAGCTGGTTATGCCCAGTTAGTTTATTTATTAAAAAGTTTATAACGATTGTATTTTGTACTGTTAATATTGTATAAATGCTAACTTCTTGAGATGGCAGTGCTTAATTTACAGAAAACATACAATTAGTTATGGAGCAATGGATGTCTTATTGCAACAATCTTTGAAATACTGTAACTGTAAGTTATAGCTATAAAAAGGATGAAATAAACACTTTCTTGAAAAAATCGTGTTTATGAATGAGTTGAATTAATCAGAATTTTTTGTTATAGTTTGTTTAATACACAAAAACACAAAAATTGTATTTTAAATTATCAGTGATTACGGAATGTTTAAACTATGCAATCTATCCTGCAACCTTATTCATACATAAACTTTGAAGAAAAATGGTTTGATGAAATGTAGTTTGCTTTTGCCAGAATGAAACTCACAGAAGAAGGAAATGAGTTTAATTTTATCTAAAAATTATTTTTTAAATCTATTCAAGTAAGGATTATGAGTCGAATGAGCCTCAAAAAACAGTAATAGTATCAGGGTATCAATTCCAATAACTCAACGTTGACTTGTCACAAGCATTTTAAGCAGATGCAAATCAATCAACAAATACAATCCAACATGCTACCTTGAAATTTAATGTTTTAATTTAATTTTTTTAATTTTATTACGATAGTCTTGAAATGGGAAATTTTTACGGTTTTCATTCGTTTGCACAACATGACCCTATATAACAAAATCTATCAACTATTTTCTAAAATATTTTATCCTTTTTCAATGAGTTATGTAATAGTTGAGCTTGTAGGAATTTGAGTGATTAGGTATGATTTTCAAGTTTTTATTACTCAAATTAACTTTTTGAACTCAATTTTATATAACCGTTTTTTCACCATGAAAGCAGCAATAGTGGCATCATAGGCATTACAGAACCTCGAAGAGTTGCTGCCACATGCATAGCCGAACGAGTTGCTCATGAAATGAACCTTACTTCACAGTTAGTAGAAATTATTTCACCATTTTTTAATTATTTACACCACACTGCCTTATTTATACTATCATGTTTTTAAGGAATTTCATAAAATTCCATAAAATATTTCATAAAAAGTCCAATTTTATAAAAAAATTAACAACATTCCTGAAAAGCTGTAACAACAAATCTGTCTGAAGGCATTTTTTAATATTTTATTTATATCAATTTTATTTGGACCCTGTCTTTCTGTTTGTCTGTTTGACGGTTCCTTAACTTAATTTTAAATGTAATAACGGGCTATAGCAAAGTTAAGAACTTTTTTGATTTTTTTTTACAGTTTTGAAAATAATTGCTATTAATATGAATGAAATCACATAATAAAAAAAAACAATTTTTTCATGTTTTAGAACATAAAGAAATTTTACTGTGAAAAACAATTAGCTTGACTGGTTTTAATTTTTTCAAAATATTATTCATTTAGTGGTGATAATAAGGTAAAATTATGATGCAAAAGTTGGAAAAATTTTCTGGAATCAGGTGTCCGTGTCGAAATTTTTTAAAGAGTCGGAGTTAAATATTTTAGACTCAACACTCTGATATAAATACAAAAATCAAGCACAGCATGTAGTTGTTTTGATGTGTTTATTATTTTTTATTCACACGTTTACAATGTATTAAAATGTAATAAAACACATGAAATTTTTTCCAAAATTATTCTTGTTATATACTATATAAAAGTTCATGAGATTCTGCTCGGTGGCTTAGGATTCTATAGCTTTTATATATAATATGAACATCATAAATAAGTATATATTATATTATTATTGAATAGCTGACACCCACACCACAGACAAGAAGAATGAGTTAAGTAATGTGTTTAATAAAAAAAACTCTGCTTTTCTGTAAAAGAATACAAATTTTATTATATTCAGATGAAAAAAGTGTTATTTTTTTATCATTTAAAAAGTTTTAAAAAAGTCATTTTTGAAAACATTTTTATCCTGGCGATTTTTAACATATTTTATCAATTTAGTTTAAAATTTAATTTTATCGATAGTTTTTTTTATTACATCTATGACAACAACAATACACGTTTAAACGACATTTTTCCCGAGATCGGGGGTTGCCGTTTGGCTACCTATGATGAAACCGAAATACCCCTCGATGCCATTCACATCTGTCACTCGCCTCAGTATCACGCAACCCCGCTTTCACATCCATCCCACACGAACTCTTGCCGTAACAGTGCTCAAACATCCTCCTTCCGCGTTCAGCTTATCCCCTAAGTAAACAAAGCTTTCCACTCTTTCAATACCACCACTCAACCCCGTCCTTGCGTCCGTCCTATTAATCACACCATGAACACATTTCTTAAGTTTGAACCTGCCTTCCATCTTTTTCAGTACCCCCTCACACCACTACATCTTTTATGCACCCACTTCTGACATCCTATACACGATACCGAGTTAGCCTTCACTCTCCTGTCACATACCCCACAGGGGTCTATTTTACTTATCACTCGTATATTATTACATCTATGAATTGTGTAAATATTGCATTTAATTGCAAGAGGGTTGTTTAATTTTTTAGGAGTGCAATTTGATTTTTAAATTGAAATTTTAGAATTATGTATTTAAATGTCGAAATTTAATTTCAGCTGCATTTTCATTAAATCTGAAGTCATTTTTTTAGCCTGAAAAGCTAAAAAGATTATACAAAACAAATTTTTAGAAAGTTTAAAAGTTTTTGTTAAATTAAAATTAAAAGAAAAAAATAATTTTTAAACTTGATCGATCGAAGAGCATTTATTTTTTAAAAAGAGTGTTTTAATAACAATTTGGAATTAAAAAAAAGAGCATCCACAGAGCTGCACAGCGTTGCATTCCACGCTTTTTAAATGACAACTTTTAATTATTACTACCCTTTTTTTTTTTCATGTTTTTTACAATGTAAATATTAATTGATTGATCAAATTTAAAAATTATTTTATTTTTCAAAAAACTTCAAAAGTTTTTTAATCCGTTTTTTGTAACATCACCACAGAAGTTAATTTTGAAAAATATATGCATGTACATATATGCAAAAATTTGAATTTTTAAATCAAAATAATTATATTTGAATTGTTATTACTTTTTTATATTTTATTTTTTTATTTCTAATACGTTATTTATTAATATTCTTTAATTATTGATATTTACATATTTCATAGATTTAATGAAAACAGATCTTTATTATTGATGATGTCATATAATTAAACCGAAAAAGAATTGCAAACATTTCATGCACTCAAAACATTTCGTTCACCTGGTCCCGAATTACTGGTCTTCACAGAATGACACTGCCTCCCTCATTCCCTACTGTCACTCAAATATTCAATGCACTCAGTTCCATATTATTAAGCAAATTGAAAAAAATAAAAGACCCATCGTCCACTTTTAACTCCCAGAACAAAATTAAAAATATTATGTGTATTATGTCCTACCTCGGGAAACTGGGTCTCTGAACGCTAAACGAAGATTGATTGATTGATGTGTATTATGTCCTGAGCGTAGAACGTAAAATTAAAAATCAATATATCAGGTTTGTAAATGAATTGAAAACAAAATTTTCAAATGAAAAAAATAAACATTTAATTTATATTTTTCAATTTATAAAAAGAATTCCCAAAGTTTTAGACAGCTCATGTTTTTTAAAATCTAATAAACATACATGTAGGCTTTTTAGATGCAAATTTTACAGACTCGTACGTCGGGCAGTTAGTAAAATGCTTGACAGTGAGAAGTAATGCTTATTCAACTAGAATGACCAGTCGCTATCTTATCATCTGCTGCTTCTGCAGTTCTTGCAATTATTTCAAACAGCAAAACATTGGAAGAAACCAGCGTAGATTACATCAGCAATGCAGAGCAATAATATAACTGATGTGAGTAAATAAATAGATGTGATCAGAGAGAGATGTGAGCTAAATGATAATATTGTTACATTCTTCTGTGACCAGTTCGTGGATTTCTGCATATTTTTTTAAAATAAATGTGTTTATGCGAGAAAAATCATAAATTTGAGGCTAATCGAACTAAAAGGAGGTTTTTTGCAGAATTATTATAGAAGTGCTTTTTAAAAATTATATCTTTGGTGGTGGTTCTCCTCCAGTATATGCGACTTTATTTTTAACGAGTTTTGTTCAAGTTCTTTTGAAAGTTTTCCAACTTTGAGGTCTTGCATTTGTTGCCCAGATGTATGAACCAGCGCTGAAGCAAATGTTCACGAGTAAATCTGACAATAATAAATTTCTGCTTGCTTCACTTGCAATGTGTAAAGAAAATGTACAAATTGAATATGCTTAATTATTTATAATAATTTATTTAATATACCCTCAGTAAATTGGTATGTAGAGTTTGAAATACCTGAAGGAACTTGTAAGAACAATGTAATGTTAGACGAATTATGATGTCACTTTTAGAGATTAATATTATTTCAAAATTTGTTCAAAATACTTTTCAATAAATAGTTTGATTGATTGATTATTTTTTATTCCCGGCTAGTTCGTATAACAAATCAATCATTGAAATGATTTTTATTTGCAGAGAGGTCTCGTATCAGATTAGGTATGAGGGCACTGCTGGCGAAAGAACAAAAATAAAATTTATGACAGATGGAGTGCTTCTTAAAGAAGTCCAATATGTTTGTTACATTTTTCATATTCACTACAGTGTTTTCAATGCATATAAAAAAATTCACGGTACATAGTAAAAACATTGACCCGTATAACATTTTTATATTCAAGACCATTTGGTAACAAAATTTTTGAAATAACTTTATAATCAATGTGATAATTATAATGATTTGAAGAACATTCAAATAATGAGGTTCATCCTGTTAAATCCATTTAGGATTTTGAGTTGACCAAATACAATGCAATCATAATCGATGAGGCACACGAAAGAAGCACCTACAGCGACATTCTCATTGGCTTTCTTTCTAGGATTGTTCGACTGCGAAGGAAGGTTTGCTAATTGTTTGCTTGTTGTTAACATGTAGTTTTAGAACAGGTTCACAGGTTGGTTCACTGATTTTTTAGGTGGGCAATCTTATGGATAAGCTGATACATTATTCTTTTATTTAATTTACATGTTTACTTTTTATGCTTGTGTATAGTCGTTGTTAGATATAATATGATTATGTTTGGTATTAAATAAGTAACTGTTGACCGTTACAAGAACAATTTTTTTTGGTTTCCAGATCATTTCATTTCATTGATTCTGTTTTTGATTTGATTTGGTGAAATAAAATGTTAAATATTAATTTATTGCTTCGTTCTGGAATTTATGATTTTTTGACTGGTTGATTTAGCTAATTTTGTAAATTATCTAAATTAAAATTTAAGGTATATTGACTGTAGTTGTTAAGATGAACTGTTGCATACTGCATTAGCATTGTCACTTTGAAATGCAATCATTAAATTTTTATTTAAATACAGCGTAACAATCCTCTTAAGTTGGTCATTATGTCTGCCACACTGAAAGTTGCTGATTTCAAGATGAACACAAAATTATTTCACACTCCGCCACCGGTGGTCAATGTTAGTTGGGGCAAGTGTGGTGGTGTTATTTAGGAGGTTAATGTGGGAATGTTGGTTGGGGGCGAGTGTGGTGATGTTGGTTGGAGACGAACATAGTGATGATTACATGAAAAGTGGGCTGGCAATATCAGTTAAGTGCCATCTTTGGAGCCTTAAATAATTAAATGAACGAAATGAAATAAAACTACGTAAATTCAATTAAATTAATATTGTTATAGTAATTACATTAAAATAATAATAAAAATAAAATATCATAATTTAATATTTTGAAATATAACATTCAGTAAAATATTATTGCAGTGCAAATGCCAAAAAACGTGAACTAATTAAATTGCAATTACTAGAAATAAATAATGAAAATGAAACTGGCTAATATAATCGTATTAATGTTGGGCGAATGCGTTGTGCATGTATTATTATAATCAATTGACTGTTGTTATATGCTAAAATATAAGTATAGTGATTCGGATAATTCGGTATATTTTATAAAAGTCTGCTTTAATTAAGGTTTTTTACCAGCACGTATATATATATATATATATATATATATATATATATATATATATATATATATATATATACGTGTTGGAAGGAGACCAAATTGTTTGCATTGTTCAATTTATTGGAAATAGAATTATTACTCAAATTCATCATGCAGTTTATTAACCATAGAACTGTTATTATCCAAATTCATCAGATAGGCTCTACTCGAAATGCCCTATCTGCATTATGAATTTGGATAACAACAGTTCTGCTGTTAATATATTTGTATGATGAATTTGGATAATAATTCTATCTTTAATAAATTGAACAACTTCCGGAGAATTTTAGTAAGGAAATATGAAAAGACAGGTTTTAAGTTGGTTAATGCCAACAATTCTATAGAATTCGTACAATACCATAAATATATATATATATATATATATATATATAAATACGTATAAATACGTATAAATATTAAAATATTCTTAACAGATTGATGCTCGTCAGTTTTCTGTGACTATCCACTTCAACAGACACACCCCAAAACGAGACTACATTGAGGAAGCTTTTCGAAAGGTTCGTCATTTCTCTTACTTCCACAGAAACATCTCTTCCGAAAAATGATGGTCATGTTCATCTTTTTGCTCCTGACTTTTCTAAAACCTTTCATGTTCTGTTTTATGTTTCAAATAATTTAGCTTCTCTTCCTTTACCTGGCAATATCTACAATATTATTATACATTTCTTCCTAATTGGAGTCTTCCGTCCTTGGATCTTCTACTATCATTAATATTGCCTCCAGTCTTGAAACTCACGATAACTTGTATTCGATTAATCATTTCTCTTTAATCATAAATATTGCATTTATAATTTTAATTCTATCTGTAATTTAAATCGTATGATCCAACCAGGTCTGTAAGATCCACAGAAAGTTGCCAGACGGAGGCATCTTGGTCTTTGTAACCAGTCAATCAGAGGTTCATCTTCTTTGCTCAAAATTAAAGAAAACTTTTCCCAAACCTGTCTCGAATTTCAAAAAAATGTCAGAAGTGATTCAAACTGAGGCGGTCGCACCATTTTCATCATCGTCCAGGCTTGAAAACAGAATGATAAATAAAAATGAAGGTCTAAACCTCAATTCTTGTTTCAAAAAGCATTCATTGTTTGGGTCATTGTCATTATATTTATAACAGGTTCTGCTGAAGTGGATGCACATTCGCATGATTCTTTTAGTCTAAATAAGTTTGTATTATCAAAAAATATTAACTTTCTGCATTTCAAAAATTTTAAATTATTTCATGTTTTTTATCTTGCTCAAATAATATTTTTTCTTTTAATTATTCATTCAAAAATTTGTCTTAATTTTATTTTAATTGTTATTCGTGTTTTCAATTAAAATTTTGTCAACAGTTGATTCAATTTTTATTTTTTTCAATTTAACAGTTTTTCATCATTTAATAAAGATGAAAATACTGATGATGATGAGGTTGATGAAAGGGACTCGGAGGATGGAGACGACGTTGATGAATCATCTTCAGATGAACAAGTTGTCTGTTTTGCATTTATTGTTTTTGATAAATCATGTATGTTTCCAAGCTTAATAAAAAATTTCACCTTTTTGGTAATAAACTTTCCACTGACTAGGCAATTGTATCTTCAACATCATTTGCAAAAGAGAATCCAGATGGACCTATGTACGTCCTCCCCCTGTACTCATTGTTGCCATCGGACAAACAAGCTTTGGTTAGTTGAATGGAACTGTCAGACGTTAAATGATTTGAAAATAATCAAATTTACGACTCATAATTGATACAGATTAACACTGCCAGGGAGAGTATCCGATTTTATTTAACTGAAAAATGCAAACTTTTATTTTAAGGAATACAAAAATAAAGGAATTGAGATAAAAACCAAAAACTAAGGGAAGAGATGCTAAGAGAAGAGTTGGTGGAGAAGGTGTTGGAAGTGAGGCGGAAAAGCAATGGTGTAATTGTGGTGGTGATGGTGTTTGGAAAGGTAATAGTGAGGGTAATATCAGAATATGCTCCGCAACAAAGTAGGAAGGAAGAGGAGAAGGATAGGTTTTATGATGATGATGATTCTGACGAGATTGGGTAAGCGGGGTTGGATGAGTTTGTGGTGTGGTTGGGTGATTTGAATGGTCATGTGGGGGCGGATGCAGACGGATATGAAGGTGTACATGGGGGTGGGGATATGGTATACTGAATGAGAAAGGGCGTAGAGTGTTGGAGTCGGTGGATGCACATAGCATGGTGGTGGGGAATACCTGATTTACAAGGGAACCAGCACGATTAATTACATATAGGTCAGGGGAGCATAGATCAATGATAGATTATATATTGGTAAGGGCGAAGCATGGAAAGTATGTAAGGAATGTGAAGGCGATACCTGGTATGTTGCAGCATAGTATGCTTGTGATGGATGTGACATCAAAAGAAATGGGGAGGAGGAAGAAG